GTAGATTACGTAAATAAGGATCACTCATTCAAAGCATATAAAATATATACAAATACATCAAAAACGTAGAGGCAACTCTAAATGCTCTTTATTAATTTGTTTGTTTAGCACTCTAATAAAGTCACCTATGTATTATAAATTAATCTCATGTATAGATAAAATGAAAGATTTACTTGTAGATAATTTTCAAAATATTGCTTTTTGCTAACCTAATACAAAGGTATCTCTATTCTAATTTAAATGAAACTTTATTTCATTCTTATTAATTTTTATATCAGAAAGATAATTTATTATCCATTTGCATATTCTATAATTTACATATCAGTTAAATATATAAAAAATATAATATACTATTATATAAATACCATAAAATCTATTCAATTAACCAAAAAAAAAAAAAAAAAGAAAGAAAATAATATAGTTTTTCAAAAAAGAGGATATATAATATATACATTACCTGTATTTCAACTTTATATTTTAAAAGAATCCTTAAAATAAGATACCAAAAAAATTTAAACATAAAATGTTATATAATATTTTTCTTATTGTAATTTTTATGTTTATATTCCATTTATATTTATAAAAATGATTACATATATATTTAATAATATCATTTAATAGTTTAATTTTTATTTTTCATCAATATATAGTGTAGCTTTGTTAATACTTTTATGCCAATATATCAATCTTAATAGTAAAATTGTAATAATTGAGTAAATGAAATATGTATAAAATTATCATTAATTACATCATTAAAATAATTTAAATAATATAACTTATGTAACTATATATGTTGTAATATCCTATTTACAACTTATAATCCAATGTTCAATTTCTTTTTTATGATATCTTAATTTTTTGAAGTTGAAATTTTAATTTTATCGTATTTAACTTATTTTTTTAATTTTAATAGATTTTTCCAATTTAAATAAATAATAATTTCATACAAAATAGGATAATTCCTTAATTATAATAACAACCTTAAGTAACATCCACCGTTTATCTAAATTTTTTTCTTTCATTAATTAAATAAACTTAAGAAATAAAGTGCATAAGGTGCTTAATGAAATGAATTATCAACATATCAGATAAATGTTGTGACGTGAATCTTCAAAAATGTGAAATTTTGGGAAACTATAATATTTTTTTTTTTAGAAGCAAATCTAGCTAAAAATATAAAAAAAATGTATATACAAAGATGTGAACTCAAGAGAATTATATTTTTTACAGAGAACTTCATTTATAACATGTATATATATATATCTTCTTAATACCTTGTATATACAATGAAAAAATTAATAAGTGAATTAAATTTTTTTATTAAAGATGATTAATTTATTAATTATCCTTTCAAATAAATTAATAGTATATTGAATAATCAAATTAATAAAAAACACGTAGAATAATAGCTACTAATTTTATTCGTTATAAAATAACCTTATATAAATGATATATTAATTTCCTACCCATTGACATTTTTGTAGCATTAAACAGACATATTAATGAGGAGCATTTATAGTTTACTAATTTAGTGAATTTAAAAATAATTTTTCAATTCTATGAACTACTAAACTGTTTTATATATAATCTACTTCATTGAAGATTCCATGTTTTTAAAAAATATTTATTTACATTAATAAAAATCTCTGCTTTTATTAAAAATTAAATTCCTAATAGAACATTAACTCTTAATTCATGTATATGTTTTATAATGTTATGAATAATATTTAGGAACTCAAATTAGCGGCTTTCAAGTTAGCAAACATAGGCAATTAATGAGACACATTATATTATATAAATATTACAAACATAAAAATTTTATTATTATGTATTGGTGGTTTATTAACTGGGTGTTCGGATACTATGATAGAGTACTGAACAAACAAATTAATAAAGAGCATGTAGAGCTGCCTCTATGTTTTTGATGTATTTATATATATTTATAAATGCTTTGAATGAGGGTTCCTTAATTACGTAATCTACTTCATTCAGCATTCTTTAATTTAAATGGTCATTTATTTACTTTAATAAAAATCTTTATTTTTATTAAAAATTTATATCCTTATTGAATATTGATCATTAATTAAATGTATATTCCTTGTTTCTTTGTTATGAGTTATATTCAGCAATTAATATATATTGCTGCTGAATTAACAAACATAAACAATTAGTGACAATACAAATTAATTATATAAATATTAATTACGTGAAAATTTTATTGTTATATATGTAAAAGTTTCTCTTACAAAATTAATTAAATCATACTTCCTTTCAAAAAAAATCATTTTTTTTTTTTTTTTTTAATCTCATTCTTATAGGTAACATATCTTTTTCAAATTGATTTTTTTTTTTTTATCAATTTTTTTTTTCCTGACGG